ATGGACACGAGGCATGAAGAAACCTTTGTTAGTTCTAGGAATAGTCTGTATCTGAAATCGGGTAATAACTGTATGTGTGTATGCATACGTAAAAAATTAATCAAGCACTTTGTGTTATCTCTCAAATTTTTTTTAAAAAGAGGAAATTTGTAAGAATTACTAGTCCTGATGTGTACGAATTGACTTCTAAGCTATAATTAGAATAAAAAGCAGTTCTGTAAATTTAAAAATGGCAGAAATGGTATACTATTTAGGAGCATGTAGATGTAGCAAGATTTTGTTTTGGAAGAATAAATTTATACTTATTTGTGTGTGTTTTCCATATGCTTCTATGGTTCTGATAATGATATTCACTCAGCTAGATTCTTCCATGTTAATTTTCAAATTTCATAGTAAAAGATAGCAAAAAAGAAAAAGTTCTCTACTCCTACTCAGAGAAATCTCATGCCACAGACCAAAAGGACTTTTTAAAGAAAATTATGTATATAAAAGTGGTCTTCCCCTTCTCAAATACTAGAAATAAATTCCCAGGTATGCAGGCGAGGGTTGGGGATGAAATACTGAGAAAAAGAGAGAAGTCAGAAGGCCCTCTGTTAAGTATGACTAGAAAGAAGGGGCCAAGCTGGCCGGCCATGGTGGCTCATGCCTCTAATCCCAGCACTTTGGGAAGCCAAGGCAGGTGGATCATTTTCAAGATCAGGAGTTCGATACCAGCCTGGCCAACATGGCAAAATCCCACCTCTACTAAAAATACAAAACTTAGTTGAGCCTGCCTGCAATCCCAGCTACGCAGGAGGCTAAGACATGGGAATCTCTTGAACCCAGGAGGCAGAGGTTGCAGCAAGCTGAAATCCTGCCACTGCACTCCAGCCTGGGCAGCAGAGCAAGATCCTGTCTCAAAAAAAAAAAAAAAAAAAAAAAAAAAGGAAGGTGCCGTATCCTGGGCCATCACTAGCCCCTACTCAAGCCAGCATTTTCTGCTCTCAGTGCCCTGAGGTGACATGCATCTGAAGGAGCAACAGGAGCCTCCAGAGAGGCACAGCTCAGGCTCTAATTCAGTGAGAATAACAGCCTCCTTCTCAGGGGAAGGCAGCTTCTGATGTGCATTTCGTTTTGACAGCAGATGCCACCGTCCTATTTGAGACCATCTGGATCACCACTCCCCATACAACTTTTCATAAGACCTCGAAAAGGCAAATGGATCTCTGGATGTCTGATAGGGTAGTGATAGGAAATGAATCACTCTTGCCCTTCCTTATACTTTGGTGTGGTCAGATATAGAACGAGAACTCTGGTTCCATCATAGAAAACCTCTGCAGCAAATGAAGTCTCAAGAGAGAAGGATGGGGAGATGGGACAGGTGGGACGGATTTTGGTTATAAGTTCTTTAGTACTTAGGGATATATTTTAATTTTAAGCATTATAAGTGCCGCAGTACTAAGGAATTTATTTTCAATTTAAGGTATATTGCTCTGGAAACAGTTAAGCCAAAACTTTGCATATGTGCGAGAAATGCAACGCATAAACGTGCTAAATCAGTGTTCAAACATTTTGGCTGGTAATTTTCTACTTTGCATCTTTCATCATATAACTTAGGTACATCCTTCCTAAATCAGCCTTCTGAGAACTGTTCCACTTTGCAGTCCTATTGGAGCTGTATCTTCAGAAATAAATGAAAGAGCTTCTTCCTCCGCAATGACTCTTTGTAAGCAAGTTTGGTGTTATTTGTTTTAATCATTTTGATTGAAACGTAGAACTAGAAACAAAATGACGGTGTCAAAAATATGTTATTAGTAGTTAAGTTTTTAGGGAGTCAGAAGTTACACAACGACTTTCAACTGCAGAGGAGGTCAGGGACCCTAATGCCCATCTTGTTCAAGCATTGACTGTACATGTGTACATCTATATTTTTTTCTATTTAAGAAATAGTCATACATTTTTTACTTTTCTCGTGAGCTTTATCTGTTCAATGTTTTTGAATGTTTCAGGTGCATTTGAAGAAAAGATATATTTGCTATTATCAGTGTATACTGATCAATACGTATTCAGAATATCTGCTATACATTAGACTTGGATCTTCTACAATATAACTTATTTTTTTGTCCACACTTCCTGTCTTATATTGAGAGTGGTATGTTAAAATCGCCCTTTATTAATGTGTTATTGTCTATTTTTTCTTATATCTCTTTTAATTTGTATTTTATATAATCTGTGTATTAGTCACTGCATTAATTCTTAACTACGTAATCTTCATTGCAGTATGTGGATTTTAACATGACACAACATCTTTCTTTGCCTCATTTAGTTCTGTTTTTATGTCTGCTTTTTTGTCTACCATCAGGATTGCAAGCCCAATGAGAAATTGCTAACATTTGCCTTGTAAATCTCTGTTCATTACTTTACTGTGATATACTGTTACCCCTCCAGTTCACCTCCTGTTTCATACCAACCTTATTAATTGTTTTTGGCATTTCTGGTCTTGTTTTTGTGATTGTTAGAATGTCTAATTCAATTTGCGGCGTTTATTACCCTTTTCGTTTGCTTTGTGGTTGTTTCCTTTTTTGAGTGAGTGACTTTTTATAAGAAAAATGTTTTATTCACATTGTGTGAAATTTTAAAGAGGTTACACATAAATACGGTTTGTTTTTTCCTATTCCTAGTTTGTGGACAAGGATCCTGGTTAGAGAGCTCCCTCTTCTGTCAGTCTCTATGGGTGGTGGCAATGATGGCATTAGGAAGGGCTAAGGATTGTCCTGTCTTTTTTCTTTTTCTTTTTCTTTTTTTTTTAATTGCATTTTAGGTTTTGGGGTACATGTGCAGATTATGAACAGAAAATGAAATGTCCTGTCTTTTTTCTCGTTCCTTTCTGCAAGACTCTTAAATTCCTTAAATTAAATTAAGTATTTGCTTTGTTAGTCACATTTCTTTTTCTTCTTCTTTGTTTTTTTGTTTTTTTTTTTTAAATTTTTTATTGGATTTTAGGTTTTGGGGTACATGAGCAGAGCATGCAAGACAGTTGCGTAGGAACACACATGGCAGTGTGCTTTTCTTTCCTTCTCCCCTTCACCCACATTTGGCATTTCTCCCCAGGCTATCCCTTCCCCCCTCCCCCTCCCACTGGCCCTCCCCTTTTCCCCCCAATAGACCCCAGTGTTTAGTACTCCCCTTTCTGTGTCCATGTGTTCTCATTTTTCATCACCCAAAAGTGGGCAAAGGATATGAACAGATACTTTACGAAAGAAGACATATATGAGGCCAACAATCATATGAAAAAATGCTCATCGTCACTGGTCATCAGAGAGATGCAAATCAAAACCACATTGAGATACCATCTCACGCCAGTTAGAATGGCGATCATTAAAAAATCTGGAGACAACAGATGCTGGAGAGGATGTGGAGAAAAAGGAACACTTTTACACTGTTGGTGGGAGTGTAAATTAGTTCAACCATTGTGGAAGACAGTGTGGCGATTCCTCAAGGCCTTAGAAATAGAAATTCCATTTGACCCAGCAATCCCATTACTGGGTATATATCCAAAAGACTTTTTCTTTGTTTTTAGACAGAGTCTCACTCTGTCACCAGGCTGGAGTGCAGTGGCGCCATCTCGGCTCATTGCAGCCTCTGCCTCCTGGGTTCAAGCGATTCTCCAGCCTCAGCCTCCTGAGTAGCTGGGATTACAGGTGCGTGTCACCACCACGCCCAGCTAATTTTTGTATTTTGTTTTTAGTAGAGACGGGGTTTCACCACGTTGGCCAGGATAGTCTTCATCTCTTGACCTCATGATCTGCCCGCCTCGGCCTCCCACAGTGCTGGGATTACAGGCGTGAGCCACCACGCCCGGCCAATAGTCACATTTCTAAGGAGCGTCATCCCTTCTTTATTTTCTGCTTCTCTCACAGAAACCATTGCTTTCCTTTCCAAGTTTTCCTCTTCTGGTCTTGCATTTCAGGCCTTTTCCTGGTTTTGTGAACTACCAAGTCCCAAACTGTGTTAGGTATTTTGGCATTTATTGTTGAAGTTTTTGCTTTCAGGGTTTATTATGTCTGTGATTCATTTATGTCTGCTAGTCTTCTCTTCTGAGTATTTTAAAGACTAATCTCCCTATCCCCCACTGCAGGTGTTCAGTGATAGACAGGAGTAAGTGGTCTTTTACAAATTTCTTTCTTTATTTATAGGTATTTTGAAGGTTGTGGTACTCTGTCTCCTAGAGATGTTGAAAGGGTAAGGTATTTTGTGGTTTTATTTGCTTTTCTTACTGATTGTGAGTTTAGGGGAGAGATGGGAGCTATTTGGGAGTAGGCAACCATCTCTGCAATGAGAGAAACAGGATTTAGCTGCTATGGTATTTGTTAAGTGCCCTTTCTCTTAAATCCTTTCTCTGAACTCTATTTCATACTTCAAACCAATCAAAGGTTGTATGGAAGACTTAACATAAGCTCTCAATAAATAAGAATTCTAAAATTTAACCTCAGAGTCATTGTGTTCTTAATGTACATGTTTACTTTCTTTTAGCCTGTCTGCATAATTTATTTAGTGTTTTAGCAAACAGCTGTCACCTATGTTGGCTAAAAAATGTAAGTCTAACCATTTTAATGTTGGATTTTACAATATATGTGCATCATAGCTAAAAACACATCCAAGAATACATTTAAGAAAACCTCAGTTGGCAAGTAGAAAATATCAGAAAGCCTACTTAGTACTATATGGGATTGTCTTGTCATAGCTCCTACAGGATGTTTGATGGCATCGTGTACCATGGCATTCATTCTCTCCATCATGAGGTGACTCCAGCCACAATGACTTCTGTTTATACATAGTAATATTTTGTCCATTTAAGATGCAATTACACTTCATTTTATTGTATTCCAATTTAGAAATACAGCAAACATTTTATATATAAGCATTAAATTAAAAAATACGTAGATACACATAAGTTATAAATATGTATCATATTTTTATATATTTAAGTTCTAAAATATTGATGGAGTAAAATTAGCAAGATGACAGAATAGGATCCCTACAAACACACCCATTCAAAGAAAAATTCATAGACAAATTTTCTTTGTGAGATATTAAGAAACTAGTTGAGATTCTCCTATGCTCTTGGTGAAAATACTCATACTGAAACTTTAGGGAAATCTAAAGGACACTCCAGCCATAATTCCTACCCCCAGCACAGTGCCAAAAAAGCAGAAAGAAGCTCCCCAGCTCCCAGCTTTGCTCTTGGTTAATAAATAATGGATTACATGTCCAATTCCCCAGTTTTTCCAGGAGTTACTCCCAAGACTGGCTTCTCTCTAGCCTGTCTCAGTATACCGATAGGACCAAACACAGCCTGGTTGCCTGGGACCCACACGAACATAGGTGGTGTGTCAGCTGGCAGTTTCATAGCCTGGCAGTTTCTCTCCTTGGATCAACCCAGAGTGAGAGGACCAAAACCTTCAGCTCTCAGCTTTTACTCGGGGGAAAAAGTTGAACTAAACATCTGATAATCCATATTTTCTGGAGATTGCCTAAGGAGCTAGCTTTATTCCTGCTTACCTCAGAGTGCTGACAGGACCTGGCATATACTAAATGCCTAGGATCTACTAAGAAAAAAAGCCAGTTTGGACTAGCATGAAGGCTGAAGAAGACTGCAAAAAAATCTCTTGCCAAATAATAACTAAAAGACAACAAAAATGCCTTTACTGATATTATAAAATATTGGCTTTAAGTCAAAAATTGTCACAAGAAAAAAAGAAGGACATTTTCTAATGATAAAGGAGTCAATTCACCAGGAGGATATAACAATTTTAAACATATATGCACCCAACATCAGAGTATCTAAAAGTATAAAGCAACCATTGACTAAACTTCAGGGAGAAATAGATAGCAATACAATAAAAGTAGATTTCAGTGCTCACTTTTAATAATGGATAGAATGACCAGACATAAAGGCAACAACGACCCAGATGACCTGATCAACACCGCAAATCAAGTCACCTACAGACATATACAGAACATTCCATCCAACAGCAGCAGAGTATACATTCTTCTCAAGTGCACATGGATCATTCTCCAGGATAGATTATATGTTAGGTCATAAAATCAGTCTTAAGAAAATTGAAGTCATATCAAGTATCTTTTACAGCATCAAGGGAATGAAACTAGAAATCAATTGCAAAAGGAAAACTAATAAATATGTGATAATTTAATGATACATTTTTAAATCTGTCAAAGAATAAATCAAAAGGGAAATTTTAAAACTCATTAGAATAATGAAAGCAAAAATATAACAAAACTTATGGGATGTGGTAAAAGTAGGGCTAAAAGAAAAGTTTGTAGTGATGAATGTCTACATTAAGAAAAAAGAAAGATCTCAAACAACTCACTTTATACCTTGATATAGTTTGGGTTTGTCCCCTCCCAAATATCATCTTAAATTGTAGCACCTATAATTCCCTCATGTTGTGGGAGGGACCCAGTGGGAGCTAACTGAATCATGGGGTGATTTCTCCCATACTGTACTCTTGGTAGTGAATAAGTCTTACAAGATCTGATGGTTTTATAAGGAGAAACCCCTTTGGCTTGGCTTTGATTCTCTCTTGCCTGCCACCATGTAAGACATGCCTTTTACCTTTTGCCATGGTAATGAGACCTCCCCAACTACATGGAACTGTGAGTCCATTAAGCCTCTTTTTCTTTATAAATTACCCAGTCTCTCAGGTATGTCTTTATCAACAGAGTGAAAATTAACTAATACATACCCCAAAAAACTAGAAAAGACAGACACAAAAGAACGAAGTTCAAATTTAGAAGAATAAAGGAAATAAAGATTAGTTCAGAAATAAAATACTGAATGGAAAGAAAATATAAAAAGTAAACAAAACTGAGTTCGTTTTTGGAAAATATAAATAAATTCACAAACCTTTAGCTAGGCTAAGAGAGGCCTCAAATAAATGAAATCAGAACTAAAGTAAGAGACATTGCAACTGATGCCAAAGAAATGCAAAACATGGTAAGAGACAACTGCAAATAATCATAGGCTAACAAATTGGATAACCTAGAAAAATGAAAAATTTATAAAAACAAGTACCTACTAAGACTGAATTATGAAGGAATAGAAAATCTGAGTGTATCTATAACTAGAATGAAAATTGAATCAGTAATCAAGAAACTCACAACAAAAAAATTCCCAGGACAAGATGGCTTTTCTGGTGAAGTCACCAAATATTTAAGGGGAAATTAATGCTCATCTTTCTCAAGCTATTATATAAAAAATAAAAAAAAACACATATTTTCAAATTAATTTTATGTGGCCAGCATTACCATTACACCAAAGCCTGGGAAAGATACCATAAGAAAACTATAAGCCAATATCTCTAATAAGTGTAGATACAAAAATCCTCAACAAATAACTAGCAAAATTAATTAAACAGTACATGTAAAGGAGTATATGGAGTACATTTAAATAAATTCAACAGTATATTTAAAGGAATTTATCCTTGGGATGCAAGGATAGCCTAACATACAAAATCAATTGATGTAATATACCACATTAATAAAATAAGGGATAAATGTAACCTGACCATCTCAATAGATTCAGAAAAAATGTTTTCACAATATCTAACACCAATTTTATGATAATAACTCCTGCCACTTAGAATTTGAGAAAATTATTTTAACATTTTGAAGGCCCTATATGTAAAGCATATAGCTAATTTCATGCTATAGAAAAAGCTAAACTTCTCCTTTGATATCAGAAACAAGGCAAGGATGCTTACATTTGTCATTTCTGTTTAACCCTGGTCCTTGTTAAAGTTCTTAGGCAAGAAAACGAAATAAAAGGCATCCAGATCATAAAGGAAGAAGTAAAATGGTGCCTGTTTTCATATGGCATGCTCCAAAGAATCCACAAAAAAAACCTCCTAAAACTAAGTAAAATTGCAGGGTACAATGTCAACATGAAAATATCCTCCCGTATTCATTTATTAGAAGACTTCATATAGTTAAAATGTTCAGATTTCATGATGTGATCTACAGATTTAATACAATTCTTATCAAGATCTCAACAGAATTTTATATAGAATTATGAAAACAATGATACTAAAATGTACATGAAATCACAAGAAACCCTGAAGAGCCAAACAAATCTTGAGCAAGAAGCAAAAGGCCAGAGGCTTCAAACTTTCTTATATCAAAATATATTACAAAGCCACAATAATTGAAACAATGTGGCACTAGCATACAGATGGACATATAGACCAATTAAACAGTTTGGAGAACTTGGAAATAAACTGTTACAAATATGGTTAAATGGCCTTTGGGTGGCAGGACTACTTAAAGGGGAAATACAGTTTCTTCAACAAATAGTGATGGGAAAAATGAATATCCATATTGAAAGACATAAACTGCTTATCTTATACCATACACACACACACACACACACACAACTCAAAATGGATTAAAAGACTAAATGTAAGTACTGAAAACGTATAGCTCTTAGAAGAAAACATGGGGGAAAACCTTTTGACATTGGTTTTGGCAATGATTTCATCAATCTGACACCAAAAGCACAGGCAACAAAAGCAAGAATAGACAAGTAGGACTACAGCAAACAAATAGCTTCTTCACATCAAAGATGTGAAAGGAAAATACACTGGGCCCCTACACTGACTAAGCTAAAGGGAAAATTCCAGCTGGGAACTGCTTATGGCAAAACTGCCTTCCATTCTATTCAAAGTCATTTCTTTGCTCACTGAAATAAATGCATATCTGACTGTTTTGTTTGCAAAGCCTAATCAGAAACTCAAAAGAATGCAACCACTTGCCTGTTACCTGTGACCTGGAAGCCCCCTCCTTGCTTCCAATTGTTCCACTTTTGCTTTGAGTTGTCCCACCTTTCTAGACCAAACCAATGTACATTTTACATATGTTGATTGACATCTCATGTCTCCCTAAAATGTATAAAACCAAGCTGTGCTCTGACCCCCTTGGGCCCACATCAGCGGGACCTTCTGAGGCTGTGTCACGGGCATGCATTTTCAACCTTGGCAAAATAAACTTTCTAAATTAACTGAGACCTGTCTCAAATTTTCCAGGTTCACAAAGGAAACAACTAATGGAATGAAAAGATGATCTACAGGAATGGGAGAAAATATATCAGAAAAGAAGTTGCGGGGCACGGTGGCTCACGCCTGTAATCCCAGCACCTTAGGAGGCTGAGGCAGGTGGATCACGAGATTGAGACCATCCTGGTCAACATGGTGAAACCCCGTCTCTACTAAAAATACAAAAAAATCAGCTGGGCATGGTGGTGCATGCCTGTAATCCCAGCTACTCAGGAGGCTGAGGCAGGACAATTGCTTGAACCCAGGAGGCGGAGGTTGCAGTGAGCCGAGATCGTGCCATTGCACTCCAGCTTGGGTAACAAAAGCGAAACCCCGTCTCAAAAAAAAAAAAAAGTCAATATCCAAAACATATAGAGAACTCCTACAACTCAATATAAAAAAACACAGATAACCCAATTTAAAAATGCATCAAAGACTTGAATGATAATTTTTCCATAAAAAACATACCAGTGGCCAATGGAGAGAGGAAAAAATGGGAAGGTGTTAATTAAAGGGCAAAAAGCCTCAATTATGCAAGATGAACAAATTATAGAAATCTACAAAACAACGTTGTACCTATTGTTAATAATACTGTACTGTACACTTGAAAAATTTATTGAGGGTAGGTCTTACATTGTGTTTTGATCCCAATAAAATAAAATTTAAAGAAATTAGCAAATAGATGCAAAGATACATAAAAAAGATAACATGAACAACTGAGGTTTATAACTGGGAAATAAAACTATCTGATTTCAAACAAGGCAGAATAAAGCATTTAATAAAAACATATGTCATATCCACTCCTAATAAAAATTCTCATCTGACTAGGACCAGGAAGGAACTTTCTCAATCTAGTAAAGGGCATTTATGAAAATCCTATAGCTAAAATTAAGTATAAAGGCAAAAAAGTGAATATTCATGCTCTAAGATCAATAACAAAATGAGGTGTTTTACTCACCACTTGTATTCAACTTTGTGTTGAATGTTCAGGCCACTGTGACACGGCAATAAAAATAAATAAAGGCATGTAGTTTTCCAAAGAAAGAGGTAAAACTCTTTATTCATCTATGCAGATAATCCAATGAAATCTACAGAAATGCTGCTAGAATAAGTGAATTTAGGCAGGTTGAACAATAAAAGATACACTTATAATGAACTATATAAATGAACATATATATATTTACAATTTTAAAATAAAAAATTTCAAATTAGAAAATACAATGTATAATAGCATTAAAAACACAAGACTACTTTGGGGAAATCTTATAAAAACATAAAAGGCCTTCATATTAAAAACTACAAAACATTGCTGGGTATGATTTAAGAATATTGAGACAATGGCCTAGATAAAGAAAACATGGTCCATATATACCATGGAATACAATGCAGCCATAAAAAAGAATAAAATTATGTCCTTTGCAGCAACATGGATGGAACTAAAGGCCATTATCCTAAGTGAATTAACACAAGAACAGAAAACCAAATACCAAATGTTCTCACTTATAAGTGGGAGCTAAACATGGAGTACATAGGCACACAGAAAAAGGAAACAATAGACACCAGGGTCTGCTTGAGGGTGGAGAGTAGGAGAAGGGTAAGGATTAAAAACCTGCCTGTTGAGTACTATGCAGATTACCAGGATCACAAAATTATCTGTACACCAAACCACTGCAACATGCAATGTACTCATATAACAAGCCTACACGTGTATCACTGAACCTAAAACAAAACTCAGAAACAAAAAAAAAATAAGCATACGTATATTGAGGTACAAGAAACAAATCTTGTTCAAGGATCAGGAGACTCTTAGAAATAAAAGGGAATGGATAGGGGAATGGTGGCTCATGCCTGTAATCCCAGCACTTTGGGAAGCCAAGGCAGATGGATTGCTTGAGGTCAGGAGTTCAAGATCAGCCTGGTCAAAATGATGAAACCTTATCTTTACTAAAAATACAAAAATTAGCTGGGCGTGTTGGTGAGTATCTGTAATCCCAGCTACTGGCAAGGCTGAGGCTCAAGAATCTCTTGAACCCAGGAGGTAGAGAATGCAGTAAGCCAAGATCGTGTCACTTTACTCCAGTCCAGGTGACAGAGCAAGACTCAGTCTCAAAAAAAGAAAACAAAAAGAAGAAATAAAAGGGAATTAATTATTGATAGATGTATCAACATAGATGACTATAAAAACTATGATGCTGAATGAAAAATCCAGACCACAGATGTATGTATTATATATTTCTATCTATATAAAACACAGAAAGGCAAATTTAGAGTAACAGAATACAGTACAATACTCACCTGTGGGGGAGGAGCAAGAGGAAAGTGTTATATATAGGCAACAGGATACTTTTGAAGGTAGCATGTGTTTTATATATTGCTGAAGTGATGGTTTCACAGATGCATAGATAGGAAAATACATCAAATGTCCTACTTTAAGCATATGAAGTTGTATCTCAATTATACTGCAGCAATGCTGTTAAAACTAGATAATGGCTGAAAGATTAAACAAGCACTACATAGAAGAGGATATAAAAATTAAAAAAAAATGAGCGGTAAGCATATATTTATTAGGGAAATGAAAATTGAATGTACAGTTGCATGCAAATGCATAGTATCCAGAAGGTCCTTAGACAAAAATAATTCATAATACTATGTGTTGTCAAGAATGTAGAGTAACACTCACATAAACTGCCAGTGAAATTATAAATAAACTTTATAAATAAATGGTTACAAGTTTTTAAAGCATGAACAAAAGGGCCTAGATATATGACAGCTTATGACTTAGAAATTCAACTCCTAGGCATCCACTCAAAGATATGAAGCCATTTGTCCCACAAGAGATATATTAAAATGTTTATAACAATTTTACTCATAATAGTAAAAAGTGGAAATGACTCAAATGTTGAACGATATTAGAGTGAATAAGCAAATTGTGATACATTATTTATTTATGTTTTTTTCTGAGACAGAGTCTTGCTCTGTCACCAGGCACCAGGCTGGAGTGCAGTGGTGCAATCTCGGCTCACTGCAATGTCTGCCTCCTAGGTTCAAGCAATTCTCCTGCCTCAGCCTCCTGAGTAGCTGGGACTACAGGCATGTGCCACCATGCCCAGCTATTTTTGTATTTTTTTTTAGTAGAGACAAGGTTTCACCATGTTGGCCAGGATGGTCTCGATCTCTTGACCTCATGATCCACCCGCCTGGGCTTCACACATTCTTATGAATTCTACATGACAATAAAAGGAGCTACTGCTGCACAAAGATATGGATGTATCTCACAGATGTAAAGCTTAGCAACAGAAACCACAAAGATCATATACGCTAAGCTTCCATTTATATGAAATTCAAGAACAAGCTAAACAAACGTCTATTTTCAGAAATCAGAGTAGTGGTTTTCTTGGAACAGGGGAGACAGTATCAATTAGCAAACAGCAGGAGAGTCTTGGTGGTGCTAGACAGTCTATATTTCAATGTGGTGGTAATCATCTAAGTGTAGGCATAGCTTAAAGATTTAAATGTAAATGTAAAATAGGTATTCTTTATTGTGTTTTCACGCCATTAAAAATATATAAAGGCGTAACCAATGAAGTATTTAGTGTAAATGAGAAAATTAGTGAAGAAAAATTTCATGAGAGCAGTTCGTGGAGCAGGTCTAGTAAGGCGCCGGTCCAAATAACAGCAGGTGGGTAAGGGCTCTTGGAAGGATATTTTCAATGAGAACAAAGTGACCCTCATGGGTTATATAACATAACTGAGAACTCAAAACTACACAAAAAAATAAACCTTTAATCTGGCAGAAGAGTTTGCTTCTTATTGTATAAGGGTTATAATCATAGAACCTCAAAGAAGGAAATATAATTCTAGCTTACTATTGGGTTCTAAAATGTCCTCTCTTTGGCTGGACGCGATGGCTCATGCCTTCGCATAATCCCAGCACTCAGGAGGCCAATGTGGGTGGATTACTTGAAGCCAGGATTTGGAGACCACCCTGGCCAACATGGCAAAACCCCCTGTCTACTGAAAATACAAAAAGTAGCCAGGTGTAATGTGGGTGCCTGTAATCCCAGCTACTCAGGTGGCTGAGGCATGAGAATCGCGTGAACCAGAAGTTGCAGCGAGCCGAGATTACATCACTGCACTCCAGCCTGGGTGACAGAGTGAGACTCCATCTCAATCAATCAATCAGTCAATCAGTATGTCCTCTATTCCTGAGGTCATGATGATGAAACATTGTAGTCGCTAACTACTATAAAGAACAAATTATCCTCAAACCTGTAAGCTTAAAACAAAACGTTTCACTACACACAGTTTCTTGAGGTCAGGAATCAGGAGCAATTGCACTAGGTGGTTCTAGCTCAGGATGTCTCATGAGGTTGCAGTCGAAATGTTGGTTGGGTTGTAGTTATCTAAGGCTTGACACTGGCTGGAGAGTTGAACCAAGGAGGCTCACGCACATGGCTGTCTGCAAGAGGCTGCAGTTCCTTGCTAGCTGTTTATAGGAGGCCTCAGTTCTTTGCCACATGGAATGCTTCAGAGTTGCTCATGACAAGGTAGGTGGCTTCCACCAAATCAAATGAAATGAGAAAGGGCAAAGCCGAAGACATACTGTCTTTTATAATCTAGCCTCAAAAGTGACATGCTGTAACTTCTGCCTTATTCTCTTGGTTGCACTGATCAACCCTTATACAATGTAATTGATTACATCAAAAGTGTTAAATTCCAAGAAACAGGGATCATTTGGAGCATATAGGAAGCTGTTTACAAGAGTCTAAACTTTGGCCCCAAATTATTTACATCCCTCCCACATACAAAATCCACACAGACTCCCAATTCTCATCCCGTTACAATGTCAGCACAAAGTCCAGAAATTTGTCACACCCAAGTATGGGTGAGACTCACCAAGTGTAGTTCCTGAAGTTTAGCTTCTTGAGTATAATTTTTCTCCATGTAAATACTTGTGAAGTTAACAATACTAGAGATTGTCTTCCCTTATATACTCAACATCCAAAAGAATGAACTCTACAGACATCCTTGTTCAAAAGAGGGAGGGGCATGAGAATTACATAGGAGTCACTGATGCATAAGAATTTAAAGTCTAGCACAGCAAATGTTGGGACTTACTTGATCAGGACTCAGTCCTGTTTCTGTTATGAAGTGACTCTTTATAACTCCTGGATCCACCTTATAGGTTCTTAGCTCTGTCCTTTGAATCATTCCTAGTTTTTAATACAAGGTAGCACTTCACTGTCATTTTTCTACTGACATAGTCATCTCAGAAATGTTCTGGGGTTTTCTATGAACTCTGTTTGTAAAAACCACATGTATAAATCCCTTCAGTCTTCTCTCTACCTGGAGCTTCTGCTGAAACAGCTGAGGGACAATGCCCTAGGGCTGTCTAGAAGCCCTATTATTTGACCTTTATAGATCCTTCATCAGACTGAATTGAGGCATTACCTATGTTCTTTCTATGACATTTACAGGAAATTTTAGTCACGCCCACAGCTTCTTCTTTAGAATCATGCTTTCCTGAGAGCACCCTAGATTAGACCTTTGCTCAGAATCTATTTCTCAATTTTAGCATTTTTGACATGCTAAAATTTGAGAGTCCAGGAATCTCAAAACTATAAAGTTCTAACTTCTTTTGTTTAAAAGTCCTTCCAATAGGTTATGTGTCTTTTATAGCATTGTAATATAGGCAGTAGGAAGAAAGCAGACAGTATCTTCGATACTCTGACTGGAAATGACTTTAGAGCATTCTCTTAATTCATTCAGTACATTTTCTACCTTCCACAATACTACAGGCAAAAGTGTTGCTAAACTTTCTGGCACTAAATAGAAAGCTTTTTACTTTCTCCAGTTTCTAATATGTTTTCACTTCCCTACTATAAGCCCTTACTCAAAGCTTTCAGTCTTTCCTGTCCTTTTAGCCTCCATCCACTGCCTGTTTTCAAGCACTCCAAAATTTTAGTGTTTTCTTTCTCTTTATAACAGTAACTTCGTTCTAGGTACCAAAATATGTATTGGTTATCTATTGCTATGTGAAACATTAATACTTAGCAACTTAAAAGAATAAACAGTTTACTGTTTCACACAGTTTCTGAGAACAAGGAATCCTCAAAAGCATAGTAGGATGGACCTAGCTCAGAGTCTCACATGAGGTTGCCGTCAAGACGTTGGCTGGGGGCTGTAATCACCTGAAGGCTTGACTAGGACTGGAGCCCATACATGCAAAGAAGGCTTATAACATGGCCGTTGGAAACAGACTTCAGTTCCTTGCTGGTTGTGCATAGAGTCTTCAGTTCCTTGCCACATGGTCCTTTCAACGAGGCTGCTCATGACATGGTAACTGATTTTCTCCATATCAAGTGATCTGGGAGAGAGGAAAAAGAAAGAAGTCATAATATCTTTGATGACCTATTCTCAGAAATGACATATCATCATTTCCACTTTATTTATTTATTACTTTTTTTTCTTCTTTTCTTTTTTTGAGATGGAGTTTTACTCTCCAGAGTTTCACACTGGCTAGAGTGCAGTGGTGCAACCTCAGCTCACTGCAACATCCGCCTTCTGGTTTCAAGCATTCTCCTGCCTCAGCCTCTGAGTATCTGGGATTACAGAAGCCAATCACCTAATTTTTGTATGTTGGTATTTTTAGTAGAGATGGGGTTTCACCATGTTTGCCAGGCTGGTCTCAAATTCCTGATCTCAGGTGATCTGCCTGCCTCGGGATTGCAGGTGTGAGCCACCATGCCCAGTCATTTCTGCTTTATTTCATTGGTCACACAGGTCAACCCAGTGTGGAAGGAAATTCCACAAAGGTATGTACACCACAGGTGGAAATCATTGATGAACATCTTGCAATTTGGCTATGACACATAATTTGTAGATTTTTAGCCTTTAAAATGAACACAGATTGATAGTAAGAGCCATAACCGTTTACACATAGCAAAATGTATAAGTACATTTACAACTGGTAAGAAGTGATGTGGAAAAGATTAAAGCAGGGAGGAGAATAACGGCCTTAGAGTCTCACCTCACACACTTGGGCACGTGTTGGCAAACCATGGCCTATGACCAAATTTGTCTCGCCGTATGTTTTGTCAATAAAATGCTTTTGTAACACAGTCAGACCATTCATTTTTGTATTATTTATGTCTTCTTTAGCACTGTCATGGCAAGGTTGAGTAGTTTCAACATAGGATGGCTCACAAAGTTGAAAATAAATGCTATATAGTTCTTTGAAAAAAGTTTTTCAACCACTGGCTAGGATATAAAGAGAAAAGTTTCAGAAAGTCAAAAATTATAGAACTGACATTTCCGGGTATAGATAACTGAAAGGAATTATAAGGTTCCAGTGAACATACTCATGAAAAGCTTTCAATAAGGGAAAGGAATATGTTGGAGTAGGAGAAAGACAATTCAAATCAGCAGTGTGGGACCAAGAGACATCTAGAAACAAGCTCTTCACTGTTCTTATTTGTACAAAGACACCCTTCATCTCTGGATGAAACCCACTATTTGTGTGATGAAACTGGGTTTCAGAAGAACTGAAACTGAAATTTCCTGCAGTCTTGTATGTCCATTTGGTCACATAGCAGACACAAGATTTGTCATTATTTCAGGTGGAAACTATCAATAAACAAATTGACCCTAGATTCCACTGAGGGATTTTGAAGTTTAAAGAGCTCACGACAAACCATTAGTTAGGCTAACTAGCTAACTAATGATTTATAGTGAGTTCCGACCATATCATGGCCAAAAGTCAAAAATAGACACCAAGGCATTTCTGGAAATAAACAAAGAGCTGTCCCAGTTCAGATATAAAATAACTCACTTTCTTATGCATGCATTATGAGAATTAAATGTCACTAACTGATATGGCTTGGCTGCGTCTCCACCCAAGTCTCATCTTGAATTGTAGTGCCCATAATCCTCACATTTCGTGGGAGTGAGGAGTGGTAGTGGGAGTGATAATGAGTTCTCACTAGATCTGATTATTTAATAAGGGGCTTTTTTCCCTTTTGCTCAGAGCTTCTCCTTATTGCTGCCATGTGAAGAAGGAAGTGTTTTCTTTCCCTTCTGCCATTATTGTAAGTTTCCTGAGGCTTCTCCAGCCCTGAAGAATCATGAGTCAATTACACCTCTTTATTTTATAAATTACCTAGTCTCGGGTATATTTTTATTAGCAGCATGAGAACAGACTAATACACTAATATTGTGGGTGAGCAACAGCTATCTGAGCCAGTGGCTTTGAGGTAAAAGAATTTACCAAGACAGTTGTAGGTAAGAAAGGCAGATTCATTAAAGAAAAGTAGGAAAATATGTTTCCAGGGAGGCAACAGGCAGCATCAGCAGAAGGAAAGCCAACTGCAAAGAAACAAAGGCTTGCCGGGAATGTTATGGAATAGGATTTATGCTGTATGCTGCAGAGGACTTTGTACGGTACTGATAACGCCAGAGTTGCAGTGAGTTAACTTACAGGTGTCTGGTGATACTTAAGCACATGGCCCATGTCCTGGACCATGAAGAAAGGCAGACTAATAGCTTATGTGCTTTCTTTTTCTGCCTTCCCCCTGCTCCCACCAGCCTCCTTTTCCCTAATTAGGACTTCACAACTAATGGAGGAATCAAGAATCAATATACTGGGGAAGCCAGAAAATAATTACTTGTCCTAGCATATGTCAATTAAGGAACCAAAAGGCAGTGTTTAAATTATATAAAGTGGCTGGGCACCGTGGCTTATGTCTGTAATTCCAGCACTTTGGGAAGCCAAGGCAGGCAGAACTCTTGAGCCCAGGAGTTCAAGACCAGCCTGGGTAATATTGAGAAACCCCATCTCTACAAATGATATGAAAAATTAGCTGGGCATGGTGGCTGGCACCTTAGTCCCAAGTACTCAGAAGGCTGAGATGGGAGGATCACCTGTGCCCAGGAAGTCAAATCTGCAGTGAACTGTAATTGTATGATTGCACTACAGCCTGGGCAACGGGAATGAAACCCTGTCTCAAAATAAATAAATAAAATGACATAAACTATGAAGTAGCAGTTGTAACATATTTTTAGGATTATGTGGGTACAGTAGACATAACTCTAAAGTGGTTTCTAATCGGTACCCCAGTGGCCTAGTGTACACCTGCGTCATCCCTTCCCCTTTAGTTTGAGTAGGATTTGGGATTATGATGGAATGTTACTCCATGTTTAGATTACACTAAATGACAAAGATGAGGCAGGTTTTCAGATGCAACTAAGGTTCCAAATCCTTCCCCCCCTTTTTTTTTGAGTAGTCTTGCTCTGTCCCCCAGGCTGGAGTGCAGTGGTGCACTCTTGGCTCACTGCAACCTCCACCTCCCAGGTTCAAGTGATCCTCTTGCCTCAGCTTCCCAAATAGCTGGGACTATAGGTGTGCACTATCATGTCCAGCTAATTTTTATATTTTTAGTAGACACAGGGTTTCACCATGTTGGCCGGGCTGGTCTTGAACTCCTGACCTCAAGTGATCTGCCTGCCTCGGCCTCCTACTGAGATTACAGGCATAAACCACCACACCCAGTCCAAATTCTTCCATCTTAAGTCAATCAAAATGATTTTTTTTCATTACATCAATGATGAAAATAGACCAGCTTTGATACATAGCAGAGAAAAACACTCTTAAGTGTTAAAACAGAAGACAATGCCTCATGAGAGGAGGTCAGGGAGATAGGAGGGTTAGCACAAAAAATATCTATAACCATTACATGCTTGCTTATGTTAAATTTTTTAATTAAGAAATATATAATTTTATAATCACATGGACAACAAAACCAAAATATTAAAAATCTCCAGAAAGAGCAATTCATAATAAGCTGTCTTAGTTCAAATTAAACATATTATATTTCATCCTATATCTTTTGTAAGTTAACTGAAGTGCATTTTTCCTAAATCAGTCTTCATACAAGAATGTGAAGAGGGCCAGGGATGGTGTTTCACACCTGTAATCCCAGCACTTTGGGAGACCAAGGTTGGAGAATCACTCAAGATCATGAGTTCAAGACCAGCCTGGGCAACGTAGCGAGACCTTGTCTTCACAAAAAATTAAAAAATAAAAATTAGCTGGGCATAGTGGCATGGCACCTGTAGTCCTAGCCACTTGGGAGGCTGAGTCAGGAGGATCACTTGAGCCCAGGAGTTGAGGTTGTAATGAGCTATGATCTTGCCACAGCACTCCAGCTTAGGCAGTGTGAGTTAAATTTTATTTGATGTGAGTTAAATTTTATTTAAATTTCTGCTGAGAATTAGCAAGAATGTAAATAAAGTTACATAAATCTGCAATAAAACTACATCAAATTTAACATTAAATATATACATCAAATCAAAATACAAAATTCTTTATATTAACTTTATAATTTCAGATGTAAATGTACAAATTTCATCAATTGTAAAACACATTATTTCACATATATGACAATTGTATAAGACACTGTTTGAAACATTTATAGATTCCAGAAGTAGACAAGAAGTAATAATATAACAGGTAAATATATCATTATTAGTAATGTTGGGTCTCTACTCTCCACCTTCTCTGCCCCAAGAAACATTTAAATGACCTGTTGCTTACAGATAAAACGATTTTTAATTTCACAGGGTTCATCTACAGCATTTCCCTTTGGATTATATGCTATGCAGTTCTTTCGATTAGAAGTTCCAAACAATGGAAATCTGTAATGAAGAAGAAAGCGTTAACATATGGAAAAGGAAGTGAGAATTATCAGGGAAGTTTTCAATTAAATGATGTAACTTGAAAAGCATTTGAGTGAGATATTAACATATCGAGTCCTTTTTTCTTTTTCAGTAACCACAATTTTCATGATTCTCTAGTACAATGCTATGAAATACCCAGTTGTTTTCTCACCAATCAGTATCACTGAGGCCAGGGATTTTTCCTTGTTGATTTTCTGTTGTCATTAATGGTTTAAATGTGTGATATGCTTTACTTTTATTTTGTTTAAGATGTATTATCTGATCTAGTCTAGGAAAGCAGAAACAAGCCAGAGCATAAACTTTGTCCCTGTGTGATGTTGCAAATCTCATGTTTATAAATGAAAATGAGATTGAAAAAGTACACATATACTGAAAATAATTCTACAGTATACAAAATATAAAAGGATGCTAAGAATATTGGCGTCTGCCAGAATAAATAAAATAATGGATATACTGTTTTATCTGGATTGCCTCTGTGTATACGAGTATCTGTACATGCACATATACTGCCAAGTGCTTGTACTAAGGCAAAAAAAAAAGCATATGTTAAAGTTATTTTATGTCCACAAATACACTAACTTTATGTCACTTGAACATAAACTTGGATGTTCTAGGCAGATCTAAAATTGTTATTTTGTTGTACCTTTTCCTTTTTCTGTATTTTCATGCCCTAGAGAAGGTTATTTCAGCCACAGTGCTCCTGGATTTTACCTTTGCTAGTCACATCTAAGGACAAATTCATAAAGAGCAAAAAAGGTAATGACTGGCAGAAACTTACAGATCCTGGGAGAGTACAGAGCCACTCTCCCATAACCAGGCATTTTGTTCTTCACTATACGAGAGTCCAATCCAGTAAAATTGTTGACTGGAGCTCATAAAATCCTGCTTCAAGTAAAAGACAATCACATTAATCTAATTTTAATCTACTCTGAGGATAACAGATTTTGAAGGAAAGTCAGTGTTCAGAGTAAGATTCAGCCTGTCCATCACACAAAAGGTATAGTCAAATAATACCTTTGATAAATAATGACTCAAAGTTCTTATTTATCTGGCCCATTCATATATGGATGAAAAATACCACAAAATCTCACTTCTTGAAGAATTAAAACCCTTATAAAAGGAGACAGAGTCTTCGTGTAACACTTTCTTTACAGGGGATCAATTAAATTTGATTCCTAAATGATGGTATTCTGAAATGATGAATGATAAGATTCACCTCATGAGTATAATCTACTCAACCTATAATCAGCACAGGTGCTGCATGCATCTGGAGAATTTTTCACTTTTTCTTATGGATTGGGCAATTAGGGCCATGCATGGCATCTCACACCTGTAATCCTAGCACTTTGGGAGGCAGAGGCGGGTGGACCACCCAAGATCAGGAGTTCAAGACCAGCCTGGCTAACATAGCGAAACCCTGTCTCTACTAAAAATACTGATGGCATGCACCCGTCATCCCAGCTACTCAGGAGGCTGAGACAGTAGTATTGCTTGAACCAAGGAGGTAGAGGTTGTAGTGAGCTGAGATCATGCCAGTGCACTCCAGCCTGGGCAACAGAGTGAAACTCTGTCTCAAAAAAAAAAAAAAAAATTTAGTAATTTTTCTTACCATATTTTCCATACTAGCTTATATGCCAGAAGGATGACAAAAACTAGAAAATTATTTTAAAAAAAGAAATTTAATTGAAAGAGCTAAAAATCACATTTAGTTGGCTCTTTAAATAAAATGGGTAAATATAATGACCTATTATCTAAAATGGGTAAATATGACTTTGGATTCTTCCTGAAAAGTTTCTTTCACTTTATTTTGCACCTATCTTGATTTGTATTCCTATGATATAAATCACCAAGAAATTTAATATTACAATGACTATTTTAAGGTACACGGAATCAATAACTCAATTCCAATATAACCATCCACTTATGATCTGATTAATTACTTAAAGTATTTAACTTGTTTAGATAGTATATTTTTCTAGATCAAAGAAAATGTAGAAAATCAGACTTAGTACATGCCAGTTCATCTCTGCTTTGAAGCTGAAGAAGACTGGATTTCTGAGAAGCACAGAGATGCCTACTTTCATTCCAGGTTCTAGATTCGCTGGAAATGAAGTAACAGTTGCATCGATAACCAATCCATTTTTCCTGGCAAGAACAGCAGTCAGAGTCTGACAGAAAAGATAAAACATAGCTAATGACATAGGAGATGACGTTTCCTTCAATGCCATTTCATTATGCAACATTTATTTGCTGTTTATTCTTTTAACATTCTTTCAGAATCTACTGTTTACACCACAGTTCAGGGGCTATTAATGTGAACTAATTAGACATGAACACGGTATTTTTTCCTCATGGAGATTATATTCTAGAGATAGAACCAGAATTATATAATTTTCAATAATTTATTAACGATACTTAATGATGATTTAGGTAAGTACACAAAAACAATTAAGTATTTTAAAACAGCATGTAGCAGAGTGTAAGATGAGGGGCAGTTAGAAGAACCTTTTTTGAGGAAGTAACTCGAAACTAAGTACTGTAGCAGAAATAGAAGTTAACTAGATGAAAGAGACTGAAAGGAGGAAAACATTTTAGCATGTTTTCTGAGTCAGAAAAGAATATGGCACTGGTCAGGAGTGTATATATACATATATATTATGTATGTATATACATACAGAATTATGGCTCACACCTATAATTCCAGAACTTTGGGAGGCTGAGGTGGGCAGATCACTTGAGGTCGGGAGTTTGAGACCAGCCTGACCAACATGGAGAAACCCTGTCCCTACTAAAAATACAAAAAAAAAAAAAAAAAAGTCAGCTGAGTGTGGTGGCACATGTCTGTAATCCTAGGTACTCGGGAGGCTGAGGTAGGAGAATCGCTGGAACCCAGGAGGTGGAGGTTGTGGTGAGCTGAGATTGCACTACTGCACTCCAGCCTGGGTAACAAGAGTGAAACTCTGTCTCAAAAAAAAAAGAAAAAATGATGAGGGGGGTGGGATTTTTGGTACATTTGGAGAATTCTGATATGTTTGAAAGGAAATATAAATAAACCAATTATCTTGAGTCTTAATTACATAGTTTATCCATAATAGTGTTTTCAACATTTGTTATCTACAGTAATAAAAAGCATGACATAGCATAGGCACTCAAATTGTTGCCATATAAGTGGTGCTGAAGATGTTGCACCATTTATGTATGTATGTATTTATTTATTTATTTTTGAGACAGAGTCTTGCTGCGTTGCCCAGGCTGGAGTGCAGTGGTGCCATCTCAGCTCACTGCAACCTCTGCCTCCCAGGTTCGAGCAATTCTCCATGCCTCAGCTTCCTATGTAACAGAGACTACAGGTGTGCACCACTATGCCTGGCTAATTTTTGTATTTTTAGTAGAGATGAGGTTTCACTATGTTGGCCAGGCTTGTCTCAAACTTCTGACCTCAAGTAATATGCCTACCTCCAGCCTTCCAAAGTGCTCGGATTACAGGCATGAGCCACTGCGCCCGGCCAAGATGTTACACTGTAAATGAAGCAGTATATGATCACAGAAGATGATGAGACAACTTGGGGTGCATTTGGAAAAAAATATATTTAGAAAATCTGGGCTGGGTGCTGTGGCTCTGCCGGGCAGAGTGGCTCATGCCTGTCGTCCCAGCACTTTGGGAGGCCAAGCGGGTGGATCACCTAAGGTCAGGATTTCAAGACCAGCATGGCCAACATGGCGAAACCCTCTCTATACTAAAAATACAAAAATTAGCCGGGCACGGTGGTGGGTGCTTGTAGTTCCACCTACGTGGGAGGCTGAGGCAGGAAAATCTCTTGAACCCAGGAGGAGAAGGTGGCAGTGAGCTGAGATAGCACCACTGCACTCCAACCTGGGAGACAAGAGCAAAACTCTGTCTCTAAAAATAAAAGAAAGAAAGAAAATTGGACTTTGAGCTGGCTTCCATTGGATAAGTAAGATTTAGAAATCTGTGCACTATATTTTGCATCATTTAAGAATCAAAAGGGAAAAGTATGAGATGCAAAAGTATAGATCATAAGCAAATTCAGGCAGGTAATGAGGATTAACTGTAATGTTTCCTGCGGTTTAGTTTTTGTTACCTAATGATGACCACTCATGTATTTTTCATTTCAGATACCATTTTCCTAATTAGTTAAATGTATAAATGATGCACATTCAATGTAATTTAATCATGTTTACATTAGAGAACAGTAAAATGAGACTATCCTACACTGGCAGGCAAATTTCTATTACTAAGTATAATATTCTATCATGCTTCTTCGTGTGAGAAACAAAGAACTGCTTATTTCATCCTTTACCAATGCCAAGCTTTCCAAAAAATATGCCCTACCTTTCTGGAGTTCTATGTTGGGTCCTGGAGTAAATGCTGACTCAATGCTCAGTTTAGTAAAAGCTATAATGAATGATTAGAAATTTGTTTAATTAGATATGGGTTTCTGAAATAATAACATATTAACATTAGTAAGATGAAGCCTTTATTATTAAATGATGTCATCACAGTTTTGATTTTGATGGAGACGTGCTTAGAAGAACTTACAATTTTTTAACAAAATTCCCAGTGTGGCCATCAACGAAAGGCATATTATCCCTAAGGTCCCAGAAATCAACCTCCAGAAGGTGGCCTTAAACACTGTAAGAAAGACAGACAGGGTAATGACTTAAAGAGCAAACACGGGAGCTGAGATCTTAAAAGCAGAAACTAGTGAGAGGGAATCCAAAACATTCTTTCATTTGATAAGGGTGTCAGCTTGCCAATAAAACACTGAAAAATGAAGACTTTCCAATCAGGACTTCACCCAACACCAGCATTTTTATGTGATGTATCTTATTCTTCACGGAGATTATTCAAACATTTTCTACTCTACCAGCTCTGTCTCAGTAAAGTGAATTTACCATGTATGTTTAAAACCGACAGAGAAGCTTAAAGATCCAGAGGAAGAAGATATTAGCAGGCACCAAGTTGTGTTTTATGAACTTACATAATTGCCATTTATTTTTCTTCTCTCAACCAAATCGTAAGATAGATAGTGTGATTCTCATTAGGTAGGTGAGAAAACATAAGGTCCAGTAATAATGTTATTTTCTCAAGTTATCCAAGCAAGCAAGTATCCAAGTCCGAAATCAAATGAAAGTGGGTCTAGCTCAAGGATCTTTCACTTAACGTAATCTACCATTGTCACAGTAATACTACTTGAGAGTGTGTCCTCTCCTCATCTCAGTGCAGCTTTGCTCTGATAAATGTCTAGCCGCTCATGGCTTCATAGAGATATTGCAGGGAAAAGAAGACATAGAAACATTCTGGACTTCATGTGATAACTCTTTCTACAACCAATAGATGGGTGATGCCTTGGAGGCCTGGGTTCATTTCGCAGTACATTGAATTATGATACGCAAACAATCTTTTCTTCCCCAAGAACATTACATTTGTTCACACTCAAGATTGCTTGTTTCTAGGCTTTTGACCTAAAACATTTCAACATTAGGAGATTCTGTGCTGACACTGCCACACTCTCAAATAATGATGTTGTCATTAACAACAGTACAATATGTCAAACTGTTCATTTGTGTAATTTCTAGATGTCACCACATAAACAGTAAGTTTAAAACTTTTAAGCATTGCGCCATTAATATTTGGCACTTTCTATTTCTATATTAGAATTCCGTTGCTCACAATTTAACCAGGTTAGAGTTCAGTTCTTGTTCAGAATTTAGAGGTAGCCCTGCCAGAAGCCACTCGTTAAACCTGTCATAAAAATTTCATAGAATCATTTCTGAGTTAAACAATGAAGAATCAGGAAACTAAAATGAATGGAAAAGTGCTAATGCATGAAAAGCCTGAAAATATCCACTGTTAATCATGTCCTTTTCTCTTAAAGCACTACCCCAAAATTAGCCAATCCCAGAAATAGCTTTTCTGGTTATTTTTAATTTGGCGATTGAAATCACACATACCTGCCATGAGAAGTTATGTTCCAAGAGCAATGTAGAGAAGGCACGATGTGTACTTGTTCAGAAAAAACAGCGTTGAATTGTTGGAGCTGAGCTGGAGTTGAAAGACTCGGAAAGTTGAGTGTGAAGAAATATAGCAAAAAAGTAGAATGAAAAATTGTGTATTTAAATGATGTTTTTGAATTACCTATTGATGAGCCATGTATTACCATACGAATAAGAAGCAGTAAAATCAGAAGCTTCTAATGTGTTCCAGGAACCACAATACAGGAAATTCTCACAGCACTTTTGTAATATTAACACTGTGGTAAGCACTAAAGAAGGTGAGAAGAGGTGAGAGGAAGTTTTGATGTTTTGGTTTTAATGTTTGAAAACAGAATTCATTTTGAAGAGTTATCTGGACAATGAAGGAAATGATTGGCAAACCAAAGGTAAATTCACTTCGTGTAATAAAATTACTCACAGAATTTTCCTCTTTTAATAATAACAAACATTTATTACTTAGCTTGTACTTGAATTGTACACAATTTAAAGAACTTGGCATATGTTAGCTCATTTATCTCTTCAAATGGTTTGATAGTAAAGATACACAAATATCCTCAATCTATCAATGAGAAAACTGAGGCATATAGAGCTAAGTAATTTGCCCAACGTCATGTAAAGTGGGATTTCCCTGTGTCACTCTGTTCTTCTGATCCCTACCTAATTCCTGGCCACTACAGGAAAAGTTCAAAAAGGTAGAACTGGATGGGTTTCCCACTTGAATGCCTCATTCACGTTAGCCCTACAAGCTTTGGTCGACACCTCACTTTTCATTTCCTTAAAGTTCTTTGAACATAGCTGCTTTATTTTCTTTATTTTTACTAATATATTAATTACTATATTGTTTAGTGTGTTATCTAATGTAAATACTATACTGCTACTTCAATGTACCCGTTTTTGTCTACAGAAGAGTAACCTTATTGCTAGGAATATCAAAGGTGGAACAGGTCAAATTTCCAATGTGGAAGAGATTGGCTATAATAAGAATCTTCAAATGACGGATTTCGATCTATGACTTAGTATCTGGAAATACAATCTACCATGCATCCTCATACAAAAGCAGACACTCAAACTTTTGTTTATTATATTGTGTATATTGTTTATGTTCAAGCATTATAATGTAACTATAGATAAACATTTTTTAAAAGATAGGCTTTCAACCAACAACAGAAAAAAAAAAACAAAGACTACTTTGATTTCTCAGTTTTTATGAGCTCAAAACCTTTCCATCTTTTCACTGTGCATTGTGTGTATAGAGCTGGTTTCATTGCACCACCAAATTTATAGAAATATAAATCCTGACTGAAGAATATAAGCATAAAATCTACTTCATCCAGAATTTAGGCAAATCTTAGTTGAAGTGATTTATTTAAAAAATCCTTTGCTTACTTGAAATCTATTCATTTTCAGTTTTAGTATTAGAAAAATCTAATCTAGAAGAAACCTATCTGATACTATTTTCCCCCATGTGAAATTGCCTTAAAATACCAGAGTTTAGGGGTTTGCTTTTAGTTTTTCTCTTGAAATAGTACAAATTTATGACAGAATGTGCAACAGGGGTTATTACTACACTTTCATTACTAACTGAACCACCTTTCTTTGGAAGTTATTCTAAGTTTTGAGAACCATGTTTGGTGAGAATACATCCATCAATCATTGTCTTTTTTTTTCTTCTTAGTTCACTGACTTAGAAATAAAAATCCAACAAACGCAAGTTTAATTCAAGAACTCCAGCCTGAAATAAGATATCCAAACACACCCCCCCACACACACACACAGAGTAAGCATATATATATATATGTCTCCTTCCTTTAACTCTTTCTGAGCTGCCAACTCTGATTGTCCTTTCTGTTTAGTTTTGCACATAGGCAGGTGAATGGTTTCCATGCACTGTATCTCTTCCACTCATCTCCACTTGTTCCTGAGGTTATCATTGCCTTGCCTACGTCCCTTGGAATATTTGGGGAGCTATGGCCAACTAGTTATCTGTATAGATGTGTCTGTGGGTTCTTTTCCGTCCAATAACTGCTGAAAGCCTTGCTGTTCTCAGACATGCTAGTCCGGAAGGGCTGAATAGTCATCACCAGAACGGTCCTCTACAAATGAATCTTGGGATTCTCTAGAGTCCAGCAGTCTCAGCCCTGAAGTCAAGTAATTCTGAACATTGTGTTTTGCCCCATTTCCCAGAATCACTCAAAGTGTTATGCTCCAGTCCCCTCCTCTAGAAACTAGATTCAGAAAACCTTTACTGTGTCCCACCTTCCCTGTCCGATTACACCTCCTTTTGTACCTTTATTCCATACACAATTCCAAATAAAGTTTGCACTCAAAGGATTCTCTGGGGCTCCTGCAGAGAGAACCTAGACTAAATTCCGCTGAGATTTCCAGCTTCACTTATATAAATTTGCTTTTGAAAAGTTAGGTATCCTGCCAAAAGAACATCTTTCTTTGTGGGACCTCCCGTCCACCAGCGACCACTGCAGGAAGCCACCCTCTTCCTCCCCTGCTGTTTATTAGTGCTTTTGTTCAGAGCAAGTGATGACTTCAATAGCTAAGCCGACTTTTAAACCTCAGTCAAGAGCCGGGAAAATAAATTAATATTCACTTAAGATATAAACAGTGGAGTCTTTTCTCTACCTAAAAATGTATAATTAAAATGTTGCAGAATGCAATTAGAGCGTACATTTTAATATCCCCAACGAAGAAATTTATTTTGATCTCACTGCTTTTAGAAAATGTATTCCTTGAGCGGGGGAAAAAAATCGCTAACATCAGGCTACAAATTCTTCTTTTAGCAGGGAGGGAGGGATCCCTGAGAAAAAATAAAAGATGTTACTGACCTGGTAAAATCTCATTGTAAACATGCTAATAATAAACCTACTAGCTAGATAGTGGGTTTTGCTTGCAAAATTCTTATCAATTGAATGATTTTAGCAGGATGTATTAGAGTGTCTAAAATTGTTAGTGAGTGGTAAAATCAAATAAAAGTGTAAAACTAAGGCCGGGCATGGTGGCTCACACCTGTAATCCCAGGACTTCAAGAGGCCGAGGTGGGTGGATCACTTGAGGTCAGGAGTTTGAGACCAGCCTGGCCAACATGGACAAACCCCATCTCTACTAAAAATAGAAAATTAGTCTGGTGTGGTGGTGCACACCTGTAAGTCCTGCTACTCGGGAGGGTGAGGCATGAGAGTCTCTTGAACTGGGTGAACTGAGATCACACCACTGCACTCCAGCCTGGGTGACAGAGTGAGGCTCCTTCTTAAAAAAAAAAAAGGGTAGTATAAGTGTAGCCAAGAGAAAGGAGAGGAGACCCAAAGTCAGGCAGGAAAGTTTTATTAACCTGCGGGCTGCTCCGTACGAGTCAGAGGAGGTGACCCTGAGCTTACAAAACAAGGAGTTTAAATAGGGTGAGAGGGGCATAATCTATCCACTGAACAGGAACGGAGATAGTTTGTTAACTTGTGATAGACCTGCAATACATTATCCTGTGACTTTTGTGGTGACAATCTTTTTTAAAAAAAGAGAGAAACCAGGAGTTTTTTACAGATATGTGTCAAACAAGAATTTACAATTATGGATAACCAATATATGTTCTCCCTGCCCTCCCTTGAGCTGCCTGGATGGCTGTAATCAGGCTTTGATTAACTGTAGCATGTCTGGCAGCCTTGATGTGGTGCCTAGGTAGAGGTTCAGAAGTGCAGCTGCAGAGCAATCAGAGCAAGGGAAGGGGTCAGCCTGCACAGAGGGGGTTTTCTTGTCCCTAACAGGTAGCAATGATTATCTAGAGAAAATTTTGTGGCACTAAACTTCTAGGAGGATGCACTTTGACCAACTGGTAACTCCTTTTCATACTTGGTTATTTTCATTTTGTTTTGTTTTATTTTTTTTCCTCAAGATAGATCTTTCTGAATGAGTCTACTATTGATTTACATGTGCAAGTTCATGTTAAAATACAGTATTTGGGATAACACAAGAGAAAGAACGCATATTTGAGTGTGTTGGATAGAGAAATCTTCCAAGTCCGTATTCATCAAGAAAGAAAGAGCAGCAATGACTTTCACAAGCTTTGATTGGAAACAGCACATCCGCCATCTCTGAATTTACCATCTTTGATGTGGCATGACCATTTATTAAGTAGGAGTGGGAGAATCAACAACGTGGCTGAGACATAAGAAGAAAGGAAAGGATGGCTAGCATTAATACCAAGGGAAAAAAATACTGCCCCACTGTTAACCTCTGGGATTTTTTTTTCAGTTTTTATTTTAAAATGAATATAGGTTGACAAAAAAGTTACAAAAATAGCATAGGGTGCTCCCTTGTCCCTGCTGTTGGGTTTCCCCAGTGATAAGACAGACACACCTCAGTTTACTGCGCTTAACTTTCTTGTGCTTCACAGGTGTGGTAGTTTTTACAAATTGAGGTTTTGTGGCAACTCTGCCTCAAGTAAGTCTATCGGTGCCATTTTTTGTTAACAGCCTGTGCTCACTTTCTGTCTCAGATTCACATCTTGGTAATTCTTGCAATATTTAAAACTTTTTTTACTATTATTGCAATATCTTTTATGGTGATTTGTGACCAGTGATGCTTGATGTTACAATTGAAATGGTTTTGTGTTGCAACAAACAATACCCATGTAACAGAGTTAACTTAGTTGATCAATGTACGGTTGTGACTGCTTCACTGGGCAGCCATTATCCATCTCTCTTCCTTTCTTTAGGCCTCCCAATCTCCTGAAACACAACAATACTGAAACTAGGCCAGTTAATAACAGTACAACGACCTTAAGAGTAAAAGTGAAAGGAAGAGTCACACATCTCTTACTTTAAATCAAAAGCCAGAAATGATTCAGCTTAGTGAGGAAGGCATTTTGAAAGCCTACACAGGCCAAAAGGTCTGTTCAGTCAACCATTTAGCCAGATGGTGAATGCAAAGAAAGAGTATTTGGAAGAAATCAAAACTGCTATTCCAGTGAACATGCAAATTATGTCTATATACATAATATATATCAGCCTTATTGCTAATATGGAGAAAGTTTTACTGGTCCATATCAAAGATTAAACCATCACATAATGTTTCGTTAAGCCAAAGCCTAAGGTGCTAACTCTTCAATTCTATGAAGACTGTGAGAGGTGAGAAAGCTGCAGGAAAAAAAAATTGGAAACTAGCAGAGGTTGGTTCATGAGATTTACAGAAAGAAGCCATCTAATAACATAAATGTGTAAGGTGAAGCAGTAAGTGCTGATGAAGAAGCTACAGCACGTTATCAGAAGATATAACTAAGATCATTGATAAAGGTGGCTACACTGAACAACATATTTTCAATGTACGTGAAACAGCCTTCTACTGGAAAAGCCATCTATGACTTCACTAGAGAGGAAAGTCAATGCCTTGTTTCAAAGCATCAGCTTCAGAGGACAGGCTAACCCTCTTGTTCGGGGCTAACTGGTGACTCGTTGAAACCAATGCTCATTTACCATTTCAAAAAATGTAGGGCCCTTAAGAATTATGCTCAATCTACTCTACGTGTGTTCTATATATAAAACAACAAAGTCCAGATGGCAGCATATCTGTTTACAACATGGTTTACTAAGTATTTTGAGCCCGTAGTCGAGACTTAGTGCTCAGAAAAAAAGATTCCTTTAAAAATATTACTGCTCATTGAGAATGAGCCTGGTCACTCAAGAGCTCTGATGAAGATGTGCAAGGAGATTCATGTCATTTTCAAGCCTGCTAAGACAACATTCATTCTGTAGTCTATGAATCAAGGAGGCCTTTCAACTTTTAAGTCATATTATTTGAGAAATATATTTTGTATGTATTAAAGCAATGATTCCTCTGACGAATCTGGGCAACGTAAATTCAAAACTTTCTGTAAAGGCTTCACCATTCTGGATGCCATTTAAGAACATTTGTGGTTCATGGGAGGAGGTCAAATATAACATTAACAAGAGTTTGGAAGAAGCTGATTTCAACCCTCATGGATGCCTTTGAGAAAGTAACTACAGATTCAGTAGAAATAGCAAGAGAACTAGAATGAGAAATGAAGCCTGAAGATGTGGTTGAATTCACTATTTACAATAGCCAAGACATGGAACCAACCCAAATGCCCATCAATGATAGACTGAATAAGGAAAATGTGGTACATATGCACCACGGAATACTATGCATTCATAAAAATGAATGAGATTATGTCCTTGGCAGGGACATGGATGAAGCTGGAAGCCATCATCCTCAGCAAACTAACACAAGAACAGAAAACCAAACACCGCATGTTCTCACTCATAAGTGGGAGTTGAACAATGAGAACACATGGACACAGGGAGGGGAACAACACACACCATGGCCTATCAATGGGTGGGAGGCGAGGGGAGGGAGAGCATTAGAACAAATACCTAATGCGTGCAGGGTTTAAAACCTAGATAATGGGTTGATAGGTGCAGCAAACCACCATGGCACATGTATACCTTGTAACAAACCTGCACATTCTGCACATGTATCCTAGAGCTTGGAATAAGATTTTTTTAAAGAAAATATGTGTCTGAATTGATGCAATCTCATAACAGAGCTTTCATGGTGAGGAACTGCTTTTTACAGATGAGGAAAGAGAAATTTCTTGGGATGGAATCTACTGGTGAAGATTCCATTGTGAATATTGTTGAAATGACAAGGAAGAATTTAGAATATTACAAATAAGGTAGTTGATAAAGCAGTGGCAGGGTCTGAGAGGACTGATTCCAACTTTGAAAGTTCTACTGTGGGTAAAATGCAATGAAACAGCATCATATACCACAGAGAAATCTTTTGTGAAAGGAAGAGGCAGCCAATGCAGTAAACTTCATTGTTGTCTTATTTTTAGAAACTGCCACTGTCGGGGTGGGTGCCGCGGCTCACAACTGCAATCCTAGCACTCTGGGAGGCCAAGGAGGGTAGATCACAAGGTCAGGAGTTCAACACCAGCCTGGCCAATATGGTGAAACCCCATCTCTACTAAAAGTATAAAAATTAGTTGGGCGTGGTGGCGGGTGCCTATACTTCCAGCTACTTGGGAGGCTAAGGAAGAAGAATCTCTTGAACCCAGAAGGCGGAGGTTGCAGTGAGCCACTTGCACACCACTACACTCCAGCCTGGGCGACAGAGTGAGATTCCATCTCAAAAATAAAAATTAAAAAGAAGAGAAAAGAAATTGCCACTGTCACTCCAGCCTTCAGCAACCACTGCGCTGATCAATCAGCAGACATCAGTGAGGCAAGATCCACCAGAAAGAGAAACAGACTAGGACTCACTGAAAGCTCAGCTGATTGTTAACAATGTTTAGCAATAACGTATTTTAAGTCAAGGTATGTACATTGTTTTTTAGATATAACGATTTTGAACACTTACTAGATGCAGTATGGTGTAAACGTAACTTTTATGTGCCCTGGGAAAAACTTCATGTGACTTGCTTTATTTCAATAACTGATTTGTTGTGTTTGTCTGGATCAGCACGCACAGTATCTCTGAGGTATGCCTGTGTTTTACATAACTACATACAATGTCAAAACCAGGAAATTGACAGCGGTGCAATCCATAGACCTTATTCAGATTTTAGTTCTTTTATATATGCATTCATTTGCTTGTGTGCATGTATGTATGTAATTTTATTATGTGTAAATTCATGTAGCCATTATCACACAACCTCTGATTTTATATTCCAGAAAATACATGCCACTAATTATTTTGTTATTCTGCAGTATGATTATTAAAGAAAAGATAAATACTGAAACTTTTCCTTTATTTACCCATTTTCATTTTAGTAAGTTTATTAGGGGAGAGTTGTGAACATTTATTTAGCACACATTATGTGCCAATTCTAGTGCTCAACATGTATGTCTCATTTCAATGTGTGTGTGTGTGTGTGTGTGTGTGTGTATCAGGAATTTTATTGTTTAATGCTTTCTTTAATATAAATAAGATTACACACATTTACCTAGCAATATGAAATCACTTTAAAGTCCTTCTGCCTCTGATTATCCTTGTCCTAGAGTTAAAGATCCGAACATCATTTTAAATTAACTACCCAGCTTCTTATTGGTCATTCATTCTGTGATTTTATGGGTCTTGTTCTGGCCTTTCCCAAGGAGTAGAGATGACCGTTTCTTAGCTACAATCGAAGGAAGGAAATATTTGTCGTGGTAGATGTTTGCTATGTTGACTTTCAGTTCCTATTCAACATACCATTATAATCTATGTTGTCCAATGCCTTTGCAGTTATATGTTATGCATTGGAAACTGCCTTGTTGTTGTTATTTCAAGTATAATATCATTTTACAGTTTCAATTTTAACTGAAAATTACAAATTCAATTATGGATATTGACCAGTTGCATTACACAAGAAGGTTTCCCTTTTTCGCATCTGCATCAAATTAAAAGAATCCAGAAAACTGCTTCCCACTAAAGGAAATAAGCAAATGAATAAAAAAACCAAAGCAGCTACGAATTCCACATTGGGTTCAGAAATAGGCAACCTCCAAAAGAAACAAAATAATGTTCAAGTTATGCATATAACTAAATCTACGCTGCCCAGTAGCTATTTATAAAGTGACGTGTTTATACAGTAAAAGAAGTGTGCAAATGGTGGTGACAGAATTGGTAACATGTATTTTGAATAAAACATTGACAGTCTCCCTGATTGTTTAGCATAGAAAGATGTTTATGAAGCCAGAGTGGAGGAAACATAACTTGTTTCAAAATTTCTTAATTTGAGTCCTTAATGTGCATCTTTTCTAAATAATACGTTATATGCCTCACATGGGACCCAGCAAGATGTAAGAACCTCATGAAAGAGCAGCAAAGAGCTCAGTTGCAACTGCAGCTTGTTAGCTCCTATGTGGCTAGTAACAGGTTTCTCTGTGGTGAATTGTTGGGTGGCCCTTTGGGTTCTCTTTCTGAAATAACAAACAAAAGTTAACATATTGGTCATAAAGTCCAAAGCCTGAGTAGTTTCACTAAGTGTCAGTGAAGTGGAACTGAGCCTCTGTCTTGGCTTTTAGGCAAAACTGTCTACATTGTAAAGCTCTGTGATCAGTATCTGCTGATAGAACTTGGGCATAAAGAAAAAGAGACACCGGAAGTAAAAGGATTCCCTAACTCAGAATAATAAGACATGTAAATACCCAAACAGGAGATGAAGAATCAGACCAGTAAAACTCTATCTAACTAACCAATTCATCTTTTAACATGTTGTGTGTAAACACTCATTCAGTACATGTTAAACAGTTTATACATTCTCAAGCTCCAGGAGCTTGAAATAAATCTTAGGAAAAGAGTCTTATAAATGATGATTGTTAATACTTTATAACTTACCTCTAACACTTTAACAGTGAAGTAGATAGTCTATAATTGATTATATTTAATGATTATCCGTAAAACAAGTAACGGTTTTTGAGTCTACTTTATGCCAGGCTCTGTGTTTTATAGAATTTCTTTCATCTAGTCTTCATAAACCCAATGATATTGATAGCACTAGTTCTTAAATTTCATAGTTGAAGACACAAGAGAACATGCTCGAAATCAACAAAGCAGTGATCAAGCTGAGCCTCACTAACCTTTGTCTACCTCTACCTCTCACAGATTAAAATGTAGAGAGTCATTTTGCATAACTGTAAGAAAATTATATTTTATTTTGCCTCAATTGTGCTGGGAATTTTTAGGTTTTGTTCAAATTTAGGTAAATACCACAAATATATTGAATGTAGGTTTATGATATAATGACAACATATATTTACATATATCTATACATATGCATATATATGCATGGACACACACACTTGACTATGTACTGACTGATCTTTCTTTCTTTTTTTTTTTTTTGAGATGGAGTCTCAGTCTGTCACCTAGGCTGGAGGGTAGTGGTGCAATCTCAGCTTATACAACCTCCACCTCCTGGGTTCAAGTGATTTTCCTGCCTCAGTCTCCTGAGTAACTGGAATTACAGGAACGAGCCACCATGCCTGGCTAATTTTTGTATTTTTAGTAGAGATGGGGTTTCACCATGTTGGTCAGGCTGGTCTTGAACTCCTGACCTCATGATCCACCTGCCTGAGCCTCCCAAAGTGCTGGGATTACAGGTGTGAGCCACCACACCTGGCCTGATCTTTCTCATAGAGGTAAAAATCCATATTTAGACAGATAATCAAACTAAGTTATCCCCGTAGTTTTGTGTGACCTAGGGGTGGTTTTTAAAGTCCTAGTAAGTTTTTAGTTACATGTTTTATTTCCTGGTTTCTCTATTTTCATGCCTCTGTCTTCTAAGAAACATACTTTAATTCATGAAACTGTCTGTCTATATATAACAATATCTATGGATTTTATAATACTTCAGTATATAAATACTTTACTTAAAAAGGTTGTTGGCACCAAAATGGATGGTCTTTTTTAAAACTTAGAATTTATTTGGATTTGTTTGAAGTTAGGTTAATGGAAGGAAATGCTCTCATTATTTGCATAACATTTTTTTGCAGCCTATCAGTGAGATGTCTGAGTGTGAAGTAAAAAAAAATTTCTGAGTTATTTGTATGGATGCATGTATTTGTGTACTAATCTTTTTTTTTTTTTTTTTGCTTTTTTCAATCAGTTTTATTAACATAGGGTCTAAGTAGATTTCAAAATAAAGACCATTTATATGGCGGGACCATTTTAATGTTTACAATAAATCCCTTGATTGCAGACATGTATGGCTGTTTGGTACTAATCTTATACATAAGATTGCATTCTCCCATGGCTGTGTAATCTAACTTCAAACCTGTGCCTTACAATGCATATCCATCTTTCCTGTAGGCACAATTTTGCCACAGTTTTTAATCATCAAAAAAACACAAACAAATAAACAAAAAAAAGAGGTTTTTTTAAAAATTTTGTTTGGTTTTTTTTGAGACAGAGTCTCACTCTGTCACCCAGGCTGGAGTGCAGTGGTGCAATCTTGGCTCACAGCACTCCAGCGTGGGCAACAAAGTACAGTCTGTCGGCTCCACCTCCTGGATTCAAGCAATTCTCCTGCCTCAGCCTCCCAAGTAGCTGGGACTGCAGGCATGCCACCACGCCCGTCTAACTTTTGTATTCTTACTAGAGACAGAGTTTCACCATGTTGGCCAGGCTGGTCTCGAACTCCTGACTTCAGGTGATCAAAGTGCTGGGATTACAGGAGTGAGCCACCGCATCCGGCCCCCAGTGAGATTCTTTATAAAACCAAAACTATATGTAAACAGTTATGGGATGGGGTGCGGTGGCTCACATCTGTAATTCCAACACTTTGAGAGGTCAAGGTGGGAGCATGGCTTGAGCTTAGTTTGGGACCAGCCTGGGCCACAAAGTGATATCCTCATCTCTACAAAAAATACAACAACAACAACAACACAAGCTAAATAAAATGATGATGATTCAAAGACTATTTTGCATTCAAAATTAATTTCTAGTCAATCCTTATCGGGTAACCATTCTTTCTGCTTCTTCAATCTGCTAAATATGAGGTGTCAAAAGTAAGTCGTTTCAAGTGCTTGATTCTGCTTTTGGTAGATTGTAAACTTGAGTCAGTTACATAACCCCTTTAAGATTCATTTCCATCGTCTGTAAAAAAATGTAAAACACAACTAAATAGTTTATTGGAAATATGTTCTGAGAATGGTTTAATGTATAAATGTATAAGGTATTTAACACCCAATTAGTGCTCAAAACCATTAAGAAACATATTGGGGCAGATAGGATATAAGCTATTAATTATTAGCTACGGTGAGTTTGAAGACTGAACTTTAAACTTTAATGGAAATCTCTGGATTCTGATATGACCCTGGCCCCCTGCCAGGCCTCAGTCATCAGTACACTTTATGTGTAATGGGTGTGGCCGACACATCACACCATACCGTACAGAATATTTCCAACCACAGAGTTGCTGCTGCCCGAAATAAGAGTTAACACCTAACACTGGTCTTGGTGTGACTATAGGATGTTGGAGATAAAGTAGATGGGTAATGGGTGTTGCAAACTATATTGGAAGTTGAAGCAATGTACCTGGCCAAAAAGCAGAAGACGTGGTTTAGGGAGGAGAGAAGAGACCAGAACTGAGGTTTCAAGCATGAATGCACCTGATCGCTATCACTGTAACTGCATGATTTTTGTTATTACAGAAAGTGTAACCATAGGAAACATTATTAAACTCAAAACTGTGACAATATTTACCTATTAAGAGAGGAGGAGGGTGGCCGGGCCTAGTGGCTCATGCCTGTAATCCAAGCACTTTGGAGGCCAAGGCGGGTGGATCACCTGAGGTCAGGAGTTCAAGACCAGCCTGACCAACATGGTGAAACCCAGTCTTTAAAAGTAATAATAGTAAAATAAAATAAAATAAAAAGAGAGGAGGAGGGAAAGAGCCAATCATAAAGAAAAAATAACATAAGGATCATAAAGCATCAATTGGACTTTAAATACTAGTCATATTCACTTTACAAAAGAAGACATACATGAGGCCAAGAAACATGAAAAAATGCTCATTTTCACTGGTCATTAGAGAAATACAAATCAAAACTACATTGATATACCATCTCATGCCAGTTAGAATGGCGATCATTAAAAAATCTGGAGACAACAGATGCTGGAGAGGATGTGGAGAAATAGGGACACTTTTACACTGCTGGTGGGAGTGTAAATTAGTTCAACCATTGTGAAAGACAGTGTGGCAATTCCTCAAGGACCTAGAAACAGAAATTCCATTTGACCCAGCAATCCCATTACTGGGTATATATCCAAAGGATTATAAATCGTTCTACTATAAGGACACACGCACATGAATGTTCATTGCAGCACTGCTTACAATAGCAAAGACCTGGAACCAACCCACATGCCCATCGATGATAGACTGGACAGGGAAACTGTGGCACATATACACCATGGAATACTATGCAGCCATAAAAAAACGATGAATTCATGTCCTTTGTAGGGACATGGATGAACCTGGAAACCATCATTCTCGGCAAACTGACACAAGAACAGAAAATGAAATACCGCATGTTCTCACTCTTAGGCAGATGTTGAACAATGAGAACACATGGACACAGGGAGGGGAGCACTACACACTGGGGTCTGTTGGGGGGAATAGGGGAGGGACAGCAGAAGGTGGGGAGTTGGGGAGAGATAGCATGGGGAGTAATGCCAGACATAGGTGAAGGGGAGGAAGGCAGCAAATCACACTGCCACGTGTGTACCTATGCAACTATCTTGCATGTTCTTCACATGTACCCCAAAACCTAAAATGCAATTTAAATAAATAAATGCAAAATAAATAAATAAATAAATAAATAATAGTCATATTTTCTATGAGATGGTTTTTAACTGGATTTTTTTTCTGGTAATGTGCTTAGAGATAGCATGTTTTGTACATGGAAATAATGGACAGGTAAAGACACACACACACAAAACAACGTTAAGCTGCTGTGGAGAAAGATGTTAAATAATACCGTGTGAGAAATTATCATGGTGCCTATCGATACACAAAGGACTTCTTTAATATGGGAAGCTTAAGGAAATGAATTGTTTGTCCCTGAGTTGCTCCTGAATATTTACTGTGACAGAATGGTGACTGTAACAGAAATTTTTGAGACTAGACATGAAGATGGTTCACATGAGAGGAAAGAAAACGAGCATATGGCAAAAATAATTCCTGGAATCAAAAGCTATGTTTTTGCAGACTGTTTTTTAAAGAAGCAACTGTTTTTATCAGTCATAAGACTCTGTACTTACATTTCAATTTTAGCAACAACGCAATCTAAAGGTAAGAATTTCTTTGATAAATAGTAGCAAAGTATTTTGAAAATACGGAAATGGCATTTTCTTGAGGTTTACATGCAACATGGCTAGCATGGTACACTAGCAACACTGGTAGAGGCAGATAACAAAGAGAAATGTCACAGAAATAGGTCAAAGATTGTTCTTTTATCTATAGTTTTCTCATCGCACTGTTAAAAACCTCTAAGTGGAAACTAAATGATGTGTAGGATACAGAGATCCTAATTTCTTATCTGGAATTTGTGGAAAGAAATGTATTTTAAATTTTATTAGTTTATATTTTAAAATATATGTGCTTAGGCTGGGCCGGTGGCTCACCCCTGTAATCCCAGCACTTTGGGAGGCAGAGGTGGGCGGATTGCCTGAGCTCAGGAATTCATGACCAGCCTTGGTAAGACGGTGAAACCACGTCTCTATTAAAATACAAAAAATTAGTGGGACATGGTGGCATGCAACTGTAGTCTCAGCTACTCAGGAGGCTGAGGCAGAATTGCTTGAACTCAGGAGGGGGAGGTTGCAGTGAGCTGAGATCGCGCCACTGCATTCCAGCCTGGGTGACAGAGAGAGACTCTGTCTCAAAAAATGTGTGTGTGTGTGTGTGTGTGTGCGCGCGCGCGCGCATGCGCGCACACGCACACATAAATTAACAGCCCCATTAGCATTTGATCATTCACCCTACAACCAACCACATTAATATTTCCACAGCAAAATTTATAAAACAAAAACCACTATTAGCTAGATTTAGGTTTCGGAAACAAATTGATGAAAACATTTTGTTTATAGATATTTGGTTTTTAGCCTTATGGATAAGGAATTGGGGTCTTATCTCCTGTGTCAGTATGTGAATTAAAGTATACTGAATTCTTTGTTCAAAACACCTGTTCCCCCCTTACTAAACCCTTCCGCATGTGGTGTCATACTAATAATTTATCTGAGTGATTTTACACACAGTATAGTAAACCTATGTATGGATTGGACAAGTCAAGCTGAATATATTCACAGAATATTGTGTTAACAAGTCTTTTGTTGTTGTTGTTGTTTGAGATGGAGTTTCACTTTTGTTGCCCTGGCTGGAATGTACTGGTGCAATCTCGGCTCACTGCAACCTCCGCCTCCCAGTTCAAGTGATTCTCCTGCCTCAGCCTCCCAAATAGCTGAGGCAGGAGAATCCACCACCATGCCTGGCTAATTTTTTTTGTATTTTTAGTAGAGACGGGGTTTCACCATGTTGTCAAGGCTGGTCTCAAACTCCTGATCTCAGGTAATCCTCCCACCTCAGCCTCCCAAAGTGCTGAGATTACAGGCATAAGCCACCTCGCCCAGCCAACAAGCCTTACTTCTGACTGAATACGAGAAGCATCTCTCCCAAAATAGTATGATTCTATGCTTTGGTAGATTTGGTTTCTTCCGCTCTGTCAGTCACTTTTCTTTTTGTCCTCCGTGGTTTTCCCCTGTTCTGCTTGTTTCTTGGATTGCTGATTCTGGCAACACATGTTTCACCATCTCCATGGCTAACCAGTACGTCCAGTCAAGGGAGCCACTGGGTTGAGATTTGGAAGGTAGGAAGAGGGGAGTAGTCTGGTATTTTGTCTTCCCCCTCTCTGCTCCAGGCTTTATCTCCTGCGGTGGCCACACATGCTATGTACTTGCTGGTTTTACTTAATTTTAATATTTATTTTATTGTGATGGGAACACAACATGAGATCTACTCTCTTAACAAATTTTGAAATGTACAATACAATATTGTTAACTCTAGGCGCAATGTTGTACAGCAGATCTCTGGAACTTACTCATTTTGCATTACTAAAACATCCCCATTTTCTGCTCCTCACTGTCCCTGGCAACCACTATTTTGCTCCTTGCTCCTATGAATTAGACTATTTTAGATGCCTCACAAAAGCGGAATTGTGTCTTTGTCCCTCCTTCATGCTATGTCATTTGAACTGCTGCCACATAACAACGGCTTCCCGTAAGGCACCAGCCACTGTGGTGCCAGTGCCCATCAAGTGGTTCTTGTGAACCCACCTGCTCCCTTGTTTCCTCCAGCCTTGGGAATAGTACTTGCTTCCTGTTTTGCCCATATCTAAATGATCTTCTTTCTCCTGACTGACTCTTAGAGTTCTCCAACTGCTTGGTAAATACCTTTCTGTATTAACTTCCTTCTATGTAATGACTTTGGCACAGAATTTGTTTTTCTGCCTGGACATTCACAAATACATCAACCTACCTTGAATGATATCTACTACACTCTTGTTTCCCTGACAATTTCTGTGTCTTTTTCTCTACCCTATTTCTGCTCCATCTCTCCCTCTGATCTAGCCACAATGCTATTTCTCAAGCAAACCATTCAGTCTTCTGTTTTAGAGATGGTCCACTATTAGAACAGTTCCTTGCTCAAATATTTTAGAGGCTCTCTGTTGTCAAATGTCACTCATTTGACATTACTCAAATGACACCTTTGAGATGCCTTCCTTGAACCCATCTTCTAACTTTGTACCCACATTATTACTTATGCCCACAATATTTCTTACGACAGAGAAAGAAACCTAAGTTCAGTCACAGGGGCAATAACTTAAAGTCAAAATATAAAATAGCATACCGTTTTAAACATAATACTATATATGAAATTTAGAGTAATTATATTTTTATTTGATATTTATAACATTATGGAGAATGTATTTTATTATATAATGCTGACATTACACAAGATTATAGGCAATGTTAGAGACTTCAAATATTTATATTTTTATAAAAATAATGAACAGAAGAGTGACATATAAACATCAGAGTCCTTCATTCTCAAATTCACAAAAATAAGAAAGCAGAAGATTAAAACTAGAAGAGATTAGTGGTTATTGGTTGGTTTTTTGTTTTTTGGATTTATTTTTGAGACAATTTCACTCTTGTTGCCCAGACTAGAATACAATGGCACGATCTTGGCTCACCACAACCTCCACCTCCCAGATTCAAGCAATTCTCCTGCCTCAGCCTCTGGAGTAGCTGGGATCATAGGCATGTGCCACCACACCTGGGTAATTTTGTATTTTTAATAGAGATGGTGTTTCGCCATGTTGCCCAGGCTAGTCTTGAACTACTGACCTCAGGTGATCCGCCCACCTCAGTCAGCCTCCCAAAGTGCTGGGATAACAGGCATGAGCCACCTCACCCAGCCAGTCATTGGTATTTTTAACATAATTCTGATTAAAATGCTTACATTTGTATAAGAATTATTGTTTCTCAAGATTCCAGAATTCTATTTATGTAAACAAAACAATTAAAATAATTCAGATACTGCCTGTGTAAGTTTATGACCAAGGTTTCCCTCAGTTTCCTTCTAAACTGGATATGTAGTCTTGCTCTTCACCAGCTTCCCTGGAGTCTCCAATTATGTAAGTAATTTTCAGGTAATTGTCTCTTAGTCATTTTCAGTCACAGGAATGTGTCATTTCAGCAATTCAAATTCCCAAATCCATACAACAAAATTTTGGAATTTTATGCAAAGCTAAAATTTTCTTTTTCCTTTCTCTCCAACTGAACTCAGATGGGAAAATCAGCACAGAAAAAGGTAGTGTGGATGACTTCTCTCTTTGTCTCAGGAGAGAATCTCAGGGAGTTCTTGGATACATTCCTACGGAGCCCTGCAACTACAGCTTCTGACATGGGCAATGAACCTGCTTTAGTGTGTTGTGTGGTTTTGATTCTTCCTCACCCTCAAACCAGGTGTCCCATGTTTTCTGTTAGAGCTCTATATCCCACCCATCACTCTTCATGCATAGAAGCTGTCTTAGTATGCTATTGCTGCTATAACAAATACGCACAAATTTAGTAAAGACCATAAAAATTATTCTTAGAGTTTTAGAGGGTTGGAGTCCAAAAAGTCTTATGGGGTTAATATCAAAGTTTCCGTAGGGCTGAATCTGTTCCTCTCCTCATTTAGCTTCTCATGTCTGCCAGCATTTCCTCACTTGTGGTTTTGTCATTCCAGCTTCCGCTCTAATGATTGCACTGCCTTCTCCTTTTCGGTAATCAAATCTCCCTTTGGATCTCTTTTATAAGGATACTTGTGATTACATTTCAAGCCTACTTAGATAATCCAAAATAATCCTCCAATCCCAAGGACTTCAATATCTTCATCACTTCTGCTAAGTATCTCTTGCTCTGTAAGGTAACATTCACAGCTTCCAATGATTATAACCTGGATATACTGGGAGCCATTATTCAGCCTACTACAGAATCTAGCATGAGTTCATGTTTTCCCTGCTCTCAGTTGGACCCTTTTACCTACAAGAAACTTTCACACACAGTTTATTTCATGAAGATATGTAATGGGTTCCCAATGGATCTTTCACAACTCTACCACCACAGGCTTCCGGGGACATGATTCTCAACATCTGTTTTTCACACCACACCTCACCTCCATTCTCCATGCTTTTTTGCTACATTCTGTGCCCT